TGAGGGATAATTTGTTCACTTAACACAAAAAGATGAGGAATGAGATGGCTAACTGTAGTAGCGTATAGTCCACTGTCTATAATAGCCTAATTTAGATATCACTTTTTTTTTTTTAACCGACTACCGACAACTTTGACCGGTTAACGTTGATACGGTCAACCACCGGTCAAACGGTCATCGGTTAACATCCCTAGTTCAGACTGACACAATGGTGGTGGGTGATTGATTCATATATATATAGAATTTGCATTAAAAGCGTAATGCAGTGACAGAGGGAATAAGAAATAAAGGCCTGCCTTTAATACAAGCCTGCTTCAAATAAAGACCTGTTACTTTTGTGGCTTAGGGATATAAAGGGCCCAGCGACTATTTGAGGAAACTATAAGGTGCAAGCAGGTGCAACGAAGTAACAGGAAACACAAAATCCAATATGAAGTTCATCAGAGTAAAAGGAAGAAAGATGTCAGAGGCTAAGACATTTAAAGAAAAAGAAAAACAGATTGTAGTGCTGCATTCAGAATTGGGGAAGAACTATGGATGCTCCTATAAATACTGTAAGATGAAAGGATTCCATGTGTTTTTTTTCTATAACGTGTTTCTCAGGATCCACAGAAGAGGCTCTTACTTGTACTGTCGTCAGCCTGCTGTGTATCCTGGTGCTGTTGATTATGGCTCCACATCTGGACTTATTTACAAGTATGTTGACTTAATTCCATGTGTTTCCTACATATGCTGTTAAAAGAGGTTGTTAGTGTGGAAAAAAACTGACATAATTACAGGTGTTGAGAAGCATTTTGGAATGAATATCTATGTCATTTTTGTATACACACACAAACAGTACTTGCGGTGTGTGTGTGTGTGTGTGTGTGTGTGTGTGTATATATATATGAAACCCGATATATATGGAATGAATGTCGTATATATATGTTGTGTATATATATCGACATTCATTCCATATATATCTGCTTTCATTCCATATATTCCGAGTTTCATTGTATCCATATATTCCGAGTTTCATTGTATGTATATCGACATTCATTCCATATATTCCGAGTTTCATTGTGTATATATATATATCGGCGTTCATTCCATATATATCAATGATGATTAAATATTTCCTGTTTGATATGCTTTTATATATATATATATATATA